ACGGTCGCCTACCGCACTGTGCCTTATTTGTAGTGGCCGATGCAGACTGGAGGAAGCCACATGGAAGCAAACAGATGAAGTGGAGACGAGGCATGAAGAAATGCACAGCACGATTAGGTATAGTAGGTATCTCTTGTCCTCCGGGGTTGGGGTCAAAAGACTCCGGAATTGCGTGGTTGGATATAGAGAGTCATGGCAACAAACCGACAGCAGCAGTGATTTTCATGTCACTTCTTATCAGTCCAGAATGTTTGAAATAATATGTATGCACAGTTGGATTGTGTACTCTGTATTGACCATACAGGTTTGCTCTCCTTTCCCGTCCCTAAAAGTCCAATCCAATCTTCATTACACACTCTCATTTACCTTGTATGCACTACGAGTTTAGCAGCGATCAGTGAAGTTCGCTTCACCGTATAACGATGACGATTCACAATTGAAAGGTAACTAAGGGTGATCAGTCTGTGATGTGCCCATCAGAATGGGCTATGAAATATGCGGTGCATTCTTTGGCCAGAATCCGCATTACTCGGTTGATTCATGACTAGATAACATAGAGACCGATTACCGCGAAACAAGGTATTTCAACACCCATTCCGTTTCATTTTTTCGTGTTCTGATTGCATTTTGCGCTATTTAATTAATTTATCTCTTATGGCAGTCTGAAAAGAGGCGGAAAAACAGAAGAGAGTACTAAAATCAATTAATAGTTCAGTGCTCGATGGCACTATCCCACTCGCGCATTGGTCGACTGAAAGCATTCGATTGACCACTGCACTCCTCTCACGTCTTTTTGCTAAATATTGAATGTGCACTTGTTGCAGAATGAATAAAAGTAAAAAGAGTACCTCGTCCTCAAACTCTTACCTGATTCACCCAAGAGAGTAACTTTTCCATTTTTCCGCGTGATTCCTTTACTTTTTCCAGACGGCTGGTCAACAAAAGCACAAAGGCTGCTGGATCAGTTTCGGCAAGATTCTGTCGCGGTTTAACTCGTTCGGGGTCTGGTTTGGCTCGTGTTAGTGTGTCCCTTATACCGGCAGTGACAGCAGGACCAGTTTCTGTATCCGGGACTAGTGGGGGTCGGACAGGTCGTAAAGGGCATGCTGGTAACCAGAAATCAGGGTTCGAACTTAGTCCAGGCACAACAGGCACAGGAGCAATCATGTTAGGGTCGGATAGGTTGGGCAAGGTTTCAGGTCGAACAGAGTCTGACACTATTTCCTTTGATTCATTGGCTGCGCCTTGTCTCACGTGATCCTTTGGATCTATGGAACTGAATAAAACAAGATGACAAGTGTATCGTCATTTCTTGAACACAGTAATTCAAGCGTAAATTTTCGGTGGTTTGAAACGTCTAAAGGTTCTTCTATCGCAACACGATTCTGTAACCGATATTCGAGTAATTTCTTTTAAGTAGAAGTCATAAAAAAGCTCTGCTTCTTACCACAACTGTTAGAGCCTGAATCATTTTTATTTTCAATTATATAATACGCGACAATGTTCAGGAAGTGTCTCTGATAATCAAAGGTAAGGGAAAATCAACGAACCGAAAAACACGGCAGTGACAGTGGAGTTTGAGGATATGAACTAGGAAACAATAGGTCAAAGATGCCACTTGACTCACCTTTTGGCGTATTGAATTGAGAATAACCTCGTTTCTTAACTACATACCGGATAAGACGTACTATGACGAAAAATTTCGCAGAACTCTCTTCCGCGCATTTTGTGCAACAAAGCTATAAAGATAAACACTGAGTTTCACTCCTCCCCAATCTCACCTCCACAAACACACAAGGACATGCGAATAACTAAATGAAACTCGAGGGTCGGATGAAATGTTTGAGAACCGATGAAAACTAGCAACGCCCTTCAAGATACATTCAACTTCTATATCTCAAAGCGACTGGTCAAATTAGGCGAGAGCACTGATTGATCAAATCTACGTATCACACGGAACCGGTGAATGAAATTGTTAAACACAAAATTGTGGTGGATCAATAGGAGCGAGTCACGTGCCCGAAATTCACATTTCTATGCAACTGAGACTCCATTACTAGTGTAAACGGAATACGTACCCAACAATCATCTAACAAGATGGAATGAACATTGTAAATGCAGCTTAGCCCATAAATACTTAGTCGATCGATACGTCGGCATCAGCATCCGCAAGCGGGATGTGCTACTGTCACTAATTCCGCCATTGGCATTGGC